CTATAAGACAAACCCAACAATAGTTGGCCAACCTTTTTTTTTCAATCCATCACTTAAGGTGTAGAATGAGGTAACAATATGTAAAACACATTGTGATTATTAATATGCCTGCAAAAGCAGTGGAAGATGACACTAGTCTTTGGGTCCCTGCCACCCATGTGCAAGATGCAGATGAAGTTCCAGGTTCCTGACTTTGGCCTGGTCCAGCTTGAGTCCTTTATGCCATTTGGGGAGTGAAGCATCAGATGGAATATCTCTATCTCTGTCTCTCCCTCTCTATATATAACTCTGCATTTCAAACAAATAAATAAATCTTTAAAAAGGTAAGTTTAGGGGCTGGCACTGTGGCATAGCAGATAAAGCCTCTGCCTGTGGTGCCTGCATTCCATATGGGCACCTGTTCAAGTCCTGGCTGCTCCTCTTCTGATCCAGCTCTCTGCTGTGGCCTAGGAAAGCAGTAAAAGATAACCCAAGTCCTTAGACCCTGTACCCATGTGGGAGCCTTGGAAGATGCTCCTGGCTCCTGGCTTTGGATCAGCCCATCTCCAATCGTTGGGGCCATTTGGGGAGTGAACCAGCGGTTGAAGACTTCTCTCTTTCGCTCTTTGCTTCTGCCTCTCTGTAACTCTGCCTTTCAAATAAAACTTTTAAAAAAGTAACTTTAAATATACCTGTGATCACAGTGTACATATAAGATGATAAATATAGTAAATACATGCACCTATATGAATAAATTCTAAAGTAGAATGCTATCTAAATACAATTGTGCAATATATAGAATGTCACATACATAGTTTTATAACTTCTAAACAATAATATAGTATCTGCATGTACATAAATATATAGTAAAAGTATAAAATATTGTTTTTTAAAAAAAGTAATGGAACTAGCATTGTGGCAGATTAAGCCACCACCTGCGATGCTGGCATCCCATGTGAGCACCTGTTCGAGACCCAGCTGCTTCACTTCTGATCCAGTTCACTTCGATTGCACCTGGGAAAGCTGCAGAAGGTGACCCAAGTGCTTGGGCACCTGCCACTCATAGGAGAGACCAAGATGAAGTTCAGGATTCTAGCTTCAGCTTGGGCAATGAACAATGAATGGAAGATCTCTTTCTCTTAAAAATTATTTGAAAAAAATTATTTGAAATTATTTCAATTTATTTAAAAGGCAAAGTGACAGAGGGAGAGATAGAGAAAGAAAACTCCATCCTGGTCTCCCCAATGAGTGACAGTTGCCCAGGTACTTGTGCCATTACCTGCTGCTTTCCCAAGTGCATTAATAAAGAGCTACTTTGGGCTAATCCTCTGCCTTGCGGCGCCGGCACACCGGGTTCTAGTACTGGTCAGAGTGCCGGATTCTGTCCCGGTTGCCCCTCTTCCAGGCCTGCTCTCTGCTATGGCCCGGGAGTGCAGTGGAGGATGGCCCAAGTGCTTGGGCCCTGCACCCCATGGGAGACCAGGAAAAGCACCTGGCTCCTGGCTTCGGATCAGCGCGGTGCGCCGGCTGCAGTGCGCCGGCTGTGGCGGCCATTGGAGAGTGAACCAACGGCAAAGGAAGACCTTTCTCTCTCTCTCTCTGTCTCTCACTGTCCACTCTGCCTGTCAAAAAAAAAAAAAGAAAGAAGAAGAAGAAGAAGAAAAGAAAAAGAAAAAAAAATGAGCTACTTTGGAGCAGAGCAGCCTGAACACGAACATGTGCTCCAATATGGGATGCTGACATCTCAAGCAGTGGCTTAACCTACTGTGCCACCATACTGGCCCACAAAATATTCTTGAACATAATAAACCTAAATTCATAAAAGTGTTTTATTGTGGGTCTAGGAGGGAAGGGAAAAAATGTGATTGGTGAATTTTATATGTAGGTTGAGATAAATGAGTTATTTTTGTTTATATATTCTGAAGAAAATACAATTTTTAAAGATTAAAACAAGGTTATAACTGGCATTGAATGCTGTCAATTTTGTAAATATGGTATTTATTTGCATATCTATAAATACATGTGTGTGTGCATGTGTGTGTGCTCTTGGATGTAAATAGAACATCTCTGGAAGGATATACAACAAAGGTGACTAGTGCTCTCAGAGGAGGGATTTGTAGTACTGAGTGCTGAATGTGGGAGATGTGCTTTGTGTATTATCTTACACTGAGTTTTGTTAGTTTTTTTAAATATATGCATTTATTTATGTGAGTATACATGCAAACAAATGCGTAACATTTTTATAAAACATTTTTCAGACATATTTGAGTAGGATTCCAGAAAAGCAAGGAAAATACCTGTTTGCTAATTTTCTTAATGTTTTTGTTATGAAGTCTGTCTTTGAACTAGTGTATGCTGGAATTTGTGATATTAGTAAGTCTAGGGAATGCAATGGAAGTAAATAGCACATTTAAATTAAAGGGGTTTTGCACAAATCAAGCTAGCCCAAGCCCTCTGTTCACCCTTCTCCCCAGAATGTCCAAGAAGTAGATCTGTATATGTCTCCTAGCATATATGGGTCCAAGAGTATAAATAATTCTGTTTTGTTTTTCTGCTGGTAGGATGATGTACTCTGGTTGGATAACCTAGCTTGTATACTTAGGGTATTGGGGGATGATCATCTTAGGTGCAAGGACTGAGCAGGATAAGTGTGGCATAGGGTAAGGATATTTCCACAAAAAAGCAATGCTGGCCAGATAAGGTTATATCTCATAAAGTGAAATATGGAGGTTATAAAGCTAGAAAGTTTATAATAGCTTTGAGCAAACTGTATAGGGTCTGGCAGAAAATTAGACATTCAGAATTCAGAAAATGAAGTTACACTAAATCTTTGTAGCCAAATAAATGTGGGAGGGAAAGTGAAACATTCAATATTACCTGAAGCATGGGAATCTAGGAAAGTCTTCAGGATCCCACTGTCATGGACACTTCTAGGCAAAATATTCATTTTGGTGTTTTCCTGCAAGAACGTTTGCTGGAAACGTTTTTAATTTTACATTTTTAATGTAAAATGTTCTTCTTTGTTTCTTGTAACCTCTCCTTTTTTTGATTTTTTTATTCATTTGTTTGAAAGGCAGAGTGACAGAGAAAGAGAGGTAAAGACAGAGAGTTTCCATCCCTAGTCCGCTCCCTAAATGATTGCAAAAGCCAGAGCCAGGCCAGGCCAAAGCCAGGAGCCAGGAACTGCATCCAGGTCTTGTACATGGGTGGCAGGGGCCCAAGCACTTGGGCTGTCATCCACTGCTTTCCCAGGCTCATTAGCGGGGATTGGAAGCAGAGCAGGCGAGACTTGAGCTGGCACTCTGATATAGGATGCCAACATCACAAACAGTGGCTTAATCCACTCTGCCACAATGTTGGCCCCAAGAACTTTACTTTTGTGTGTTTTTTGTTTTGTTTTGTTTTTGCTCTTTTGAAGAGGTTCTAGGTTTAAAAAAATAAAACTACAAAATAATCATCTGAAGTATTTAGCTCTGGTACATATTTATTTAGCAAATTCTTTATTACCTGACAATATTTGATATTCCTTAAAAACATGTAACAGCTTCTGAAGTTTTCTAAGTTCAATGTGATATATCATTTTTGGTTTGATTCTTTTTGACTGTCCATTAGTTAAGAGTATATACCTGTGCCTTCCAAGCTGCCACTTCACCCATATTTTTATGTTATGCTGAAAACTGACAAGATTATTAATTAGAGATGTCAAGATCCAACTACTTAACTTTATTTTAAATGCATTTTCTTAATTTTTTGAGAATGTTTCATCTATAATTATGAAATAGAACTTGTTAAAGCAAGCTTTCAAGCATCTTCAGTTTAATTATACAATAACTGAGAATTTGCTAGCCTGGAGAGAGGGCAAGTTAATATTTTAGTGCCTAAGTTTATATGTGAAGATCTCATTATTGTATGTTTTCTTAATTTACCATTATTAAGATAGAAAGTGATGTTGCTTAATGTTGATTTTATTGCATTAATCTTCCTAGAGTCAGGTTTTCATAATTTATCTTATGACTGAATTTTCCTGCAAGAAAATCATTCCAGTGAATCGCATGGACTCAACAAAATTCTGAATGTCTGCCTCCAAACTTGCAGTTACCTTTTCATTATTGGCATTGTTTTTGTTTGTGACATTTGTGACAAGGTTTACTCAGTGTTATATTCCCAACACCCTTTAAAGTGAAAGACGATCTTTTCATGCAATTAAACTTTGAATAAATAATACTGGAAACTGACTTACTTATGTGTGCCATATCTTAAAAGTTATGTTGAAAACTCTTTTTGTTGATGCTTAAAATCTATTGGGAAAGATGGTGAGAACATGGTAAATTCTTTTAAAATTACTACTTGGAATTCTATCAAAAATACTGACCATACTACCCAAATATTATAGTGAGTGAGGAGTAATAATATCCCTTTTGAATAACATATCTCACACATGCAAAATTGCTGCCATTCTCCTTTTAAGGAATTATTTCCCCTGTGTAGAAAAGAAATGAAAAGGTTAAATCATATCAGTAAAAATCAGGTTGTAGTCTTGTGTATTTCTTTCCATGTTAAATATCCAAGATGGCTCGACAACATATTTAGAATTTTCTGAGTTTTACTATTAATAAAGTTAAAAGGAAATCTGGTGTGATCAGGCAGTGGAGCCACATTAAATTTGTATGTGAAACACCCATTGTGCTTATCTCTATTCTAGATATTGCTCTGAACCTGTGTTCCACATTCTGAATTCTGTGTATAAAGTTAAACATTGCAGAAGGGCATACATCTGATGATACAGATAAATAAGGTTGAAGTTTAGTACTGAGCAAAGTCAGTAAAATTTAATATGTTCATGTCTTTTGTATTTTCAATATTAATATTTTTAGACTATTTTGTGTGAAATTCTGAGACATTACTGAAAATACTGATAGATTTTAGCTACCCCAAATTTAAGACTCCTCTTCAAACTGTAGTACTATATTTTAATATATCAAAACTAATATCAGATTTCTCAAAATATTGATTAATTGCAGGCAAAGTTGTTATCTATGCAACAAGCCAGAGAAACTGCAGTGCAGCAGTACCAAAAACTAGAAGAAGAAATCCAAACACTTCGAGTTTACTACAGGTAAAAATCTTTTTGGACTGGGGTTAAGTAAATATTGTTAGTTTGAGAAATGTTTCTACTTGAGTTTACAATATGAGTCATGAAATTGAATATTATTCATTTAAAACATTTTTATAATAAAATAATTCAGGCCTAAATTTTTCATTATTATCTCTTTCTTCTTTCCCACATTTGTTGAAGTTTAAATATACATTCCCATCAGAATTGTAATATGTATGTAACTCATTACCAGTTGTCTAGCTGTAGCCTCAATAGTTATTTTTTAAAAAAAAGATGTATTTATTTATTTATTTATGTATTTATTTCTTTATTTATTTGAGATACAGAGTTACAGAGAGGCAAAGGCAGAAAGAGAGAGGTCTCCATCTGTTGCTTCACTCCTCAACATGGCCGCAATGGCCGGAGCTATGCCGATCTGAAGCCAGGAGCCAGGAGCTTCTTCTGGGTCTCCCATGAGGATGCAGAGGCTCAAGACCTTGGGCCATCTTCTACTGCTTTCCCAGACCATAGAAGAGAGAGCTGGATCAGAAGTGAAGCAACCGGGACTTGAACCAGTGCTCATATGGGATGGCAGCTTTACCGCTACACCACAGCGCTGGCCCTGCCTCATTAATTCTTGCACTATTTGCCCATCTGAATGCCACCTCTAACAATGAAGACATATGTTTTAAAATAGCAAATGAGTAGGGGCCAGTGCTGTGACGCAGTGGGTTAAAGCCCCAGCCTGCAGCACCAGCATCCCATATGGGTGTCGGTGTGAGTCCCAGCTGCTCCTCTTCCCATTCAGCTTTCTGCTATGGCCTGGGAAAGCAATAGAAGATGGCCCAAGTCCTTGGGCCCCTGCACCTGCGTGGGAGATCCAGAAGAAGCTCCTGGCTCCTAGCTTCAGCTCAGCTCAGCTCTGGCCATTGTAGTCATTTGGGGAGTAAACCAGCGGAATGGAAGACTCTTTCTCTCTCTCTCTGGCTTTACCTTTCTCTGTAACTCTGTCTTTCAAATAAATAAAATAATTCTTTTAAAAAAAAAAAAGCAAATGAGTAGCAGAATAACAACCTTTGGCCTATTACAAGATTTTTATATTATGAGATTTTCTAAAGGATTTTTTTAAACGCTTTTTGTTCCAGAAATAGTTGTGAAAAGAATTCCGTAGGTCAAAATGGGCATTTTTAATGAAAAAAAAATTGTGCAGAAAATATCAGAGTACATCTTCTTCAGCAAGGGTAAAAAATGTTTTGTGATACTTTTGTTTCAGATTTCTGTTGTGTATATGCGGAACAGATAAGATTATATATTGGGTTATATATAAAATATGTATTGTCACAGTTGATCATGATTTAAAAAAAAAAAAAGTTTAGAAAGCATTACTAACATACAATGCCCTGGATATTATTTGGTTACTAAATCTGGAAAAATGTCTGAAGTCTGAAATGTAAGAACTCACTAACCTTTGCTGAGAATAATGTCAAATGTATTAAATATAAAATTAAATAGAAATAAATTTACTGAAATAAAATTATTAAAGTCATATTAATTTAATCTGCATAGTTATAAATGTTTAATCAGGTCTAGCAGCAGATATATGTCAAGTGTAATTTCAGACTAATTCTAACTATTACATAGTATTTTTAAATGTATTTATTTATTTGACAAGTAGAGTTACAGAGAGATGTTGGGAAGGAGGGAGGAAGAGAGAGAGAGATCTTCCATCTGCTGGTTCACTGTCCAAATGACTGCAACTGCCAGGACTGGGCTAGGCCGGACTTAAGCCTGGAGCCTGAAAATCCATCCAAGTCTCCTACATGGGTATCAGGGGTCCAAGAAATTTCCATATGCAGCCAAGTTTGAGAGCTGATATTTAACATATACCTTTCAATTATTTATATTAAATTAGGATCTCTTCTTGGTAGAATGGTAAATGAGGCACATATTAAATATTTTATCAAGACTTATAAAGACTATTTTGATGAATGACATGTGATTTGTACCTGGTCAAAAATGTTGCAGTGTAAGTAGTAGTAGATTCACCTCATGGATAAGGATGGTCCTTATGAAACCTTCTGCTACTGTTTTGAGATAGGCAAGCAGCTGCTTTACTGATAAATTGACCGTAACCAAGAATGCCAAGAGGTATATTATAATCTTGCATGAACTGACATTTCTTCCTGAAAAATCTTGATGCTAGATGTTAAGGTTCATTCTCTTTACAGAACTGCAGAAGATTATTGAATTATTGTTGAATATTATAAAGGTATAATATTTTTAAAACTTTTCTTTAATCTACATGAATCTAGTACCTCCACAATCTCTTCTAAGTAGAGAGTTAGCAAGTAATGCCTCAGAGTTATGATTCATGAGTTTTCTTCTCATTGCTGCTTAAAAAACAATTTGCAGGTGGTGTAGTAAAGTTAATGGGAGAGTAGACAGCCTTGTACTGTATAGCTTTGTATAAGTGAACCTCACCAAGCCCATTTCTTTTTTAAAAAATGAGAATAATAGTTCCTAATTCATAGGATTCTATTAAATAATATACCTCTTAGCACAGTATTTGGCATATTTTTAGTGGACAACCAATGTGAAGATAAATTATTTTTTAAAAAAGAAATTCAGTGTGGTAGGAGTAAAATAAAAAAGTGTGATAGCAGGGCTGGTGTTGTGGTGCAGCAGGTTAAGCTGCCGCTTGCGCTGGCATTCCATAACTAGTCCCAGCTGCACAACTTCCAATCCAGCTGCCTACAAATGTGCCTTGGAAGACAGCAGATAGTGTACCTGGGCCCCTGCCACGTATGTGGGGGACCAAGATTAGTAGCCTGACCCTGACCTGACTTTTGCAGCTATCTGGGGAGTGAACCGAGAGATGGATCTCTCTCTCTCAAATAAGTAAATAAATAAACTTTTCTTTAAAAAAAAAAGTGCAATGTCACCAAAGCCAAGATTGGAAATTTCCTAAAAGAAAAAAAAAAGAATTCAAGTGTTACCAAATGGGTAAGTAATATAAGTACTAAAATTATCCTTTGCGTTTATAATTAGGTAGTCAGTAGTGGCGTCTATTAGTGTACTTTCAATAGAGTATTAAGTGGAGAAACCAGTTTTCTGTGAATTAAACAGTGATTAAGGGGTAAAAAAAAAAAACTAGCAATTTGAAAAATTGAGCAGCTTATTGAGGAAATTTAAGTAAGAAAGATCGTAATGATAGTTGAGAAGGTGGATTAACAATTTTGGTTTATGAAAATGACATGTTTGCCCATGTTTAAGGCTACCTAGAAGAAACCGGTGGAAGGAATTGCTAAGGGAGCAGAATTCCAGGAGAGGTAGAAAGAGATGGAATGTGGAGTGTCTGCCCGAGAGTTCACCTTGAACAGGAGGGCGGAGGAATTGCCATCATAGATGACAATGAAGCAGATAAAATAATTGTGGGCACAAATAAATTTGAAGCCACAATTAGATTCCTACTTTTCTGTAAAGTAGAGGTCGCTGTAGGCTTCTGACCATGAGAGGGCATTGAAGGCTTGAAAGGCATTGCATTATTTAAAATAACTGCAGAAGGAAATGGTACACAGAACTAACAGCAAGGAAAAAATCGAAGTCATAGAATCCTGAGGAATTGGAAATGGGTGCCATAAATTCATGTGAGCTCCTAGTTATAATACAGTTATGTAATTTAACACATTCAACTGTTTGTATAACAGCACAGAACTCAAAGATTTAAATTATTCCGTATTACAGGTTTACAGAGCAAAATGCTGGATACTAGCAAAAAAGATCATTGAAATGATGAATGATATTCTGAGCTAAATATGTAAAAAAAAATCAGTTGAAAAGATATACAAGCTGACAGGAAAAGGAAGAACCAAGAAATTATAAAACTTGAGGAGAGCATGTAGTAAGGATAAGAAAATTCAAGACCTGAAATTATAGGAGTTTGTGGTCAAACAGTGGAACATTACTATTTAAGATCTCAGAATTGAAGCACTCAGTTCTGAGCAGTGAAAATATTTCAGGCATTTACTCAGATCTGGATGGTTGAAATGAGAAGAGATAAGGGTCAACAGAGATGAAGAAATCAAAGACTATGAAACTAAAGTATTGAATATCTATTCGGATATTGTCCCTAAAAATATTGGGTACCTTGGTGTGCTCACTATAATGCCATCGTAGAAAATGACCTAAAAAGAGATAAGAGATACATATTGAAATGAAGAGTATACCAAAAGAAGAAATCTATATGATATATAATGCATACAAGAATGTGTGTTATAAACTCAAGAAATGCAAGGGAACTTTCGTCCTCTGGGGATATCTGTGTTTCTATCAAAACAAAAAGGCACAGAGAACTTTCATGCATTGCTGATGGGAATGTAATATTATGTAGTTACTGCACAAAACAACCTGATGGTGCCTCAGAAGTCAAATACAGAATTACCATGTTTGATCTTTTTTTACTTCTTGGTAAATACGGAGAAGAATTGAATGCAAGGGCTCAGATAGTTGTACACCAATTTCCATACTAGTAGTATTTTTAGTAGCCAAAAGGCAGGCACAACTCGGGTGTCTATCAGCAAATGAGTGAATAAACACAGTGTGGTATAAACATACAATGAATATTATTCAGCTCCAAAAAGAAAGAAATGCTAATGCTTGTTGCAATACTGATCAACCTTAAATACATTATGTTAAGTGAAATAAGCCGCACGAAGATGACAAATATTGTATGATTCCACTCTGGCATACTAAAATAGGCAAATTCATAGAGATACAAAATAGAATAGAAGTTACTAGGAATTAGGTGAAGGGGAAAATACAGTTACCAGGTGCTAGGAGAAAGGAAGCATGGCGAGTTGTATGATGGGGATGGAGTTTCTGTTTGGGATGACAAGCTTAGGAAAGGATTAGTTGTGATAATTGCACAGCATTGTGAATGTGCTTACTACCACTGCGTTGTACATTTAAATTGACTAAGATGATAAATTTGATGCTGTTTTTTACCATAATATTTGAAAAAG